CCAGGAGCGTCGCGACGACGGAGATTGAGCGAAGGTCGTACACAACGGCGAACCCGCCCGCGTCGGCGACGAGCGCCGTCCGGTCGTCGAGGAGCGCCGTCGCGGTCACGGGGCCTGTGTGGAAATCCAAATCATTCGATTAAGCACAAATTGAAGTCGGGTTGAATATTTGATTTCCACACAGCACGGGGCTTGCGGTCGTCGCGGACGCGACGGGCGCGTCCGACGCGCGCGGGTCCCAGAGCAGCACGCGCCGGTCGTCGCCGCCGCTCAGCACGACGTGGTCGCCGACGGCGACGGCGCGCACGGACGAGCCGTGGCCGCGCATCGCGGACCCGTCGTCGAGATCGAGCGACCCGAGCGTCGCGATGGGTCCGAGGGTCGCCGCGTCCCAGAGCTTCACGTACCAGTCGGACCCGCCGGACGCCAGGGTCGCCCGCGCGCCGTCGTAGGCGACGCAGTTGACCTCCGCGCGGTCCGCGCGGCCCGCCGTCGCGTGCGCGTCCCGCACGTGCGCGACCTCGGACCACGCCGCGACGCCCGCGGTGGCCTCCTTCGGCGGCCGCCAGGCCAGGAGGTCGCCGCCGCGGCAGCCCCCGACGACGAAGGCGCCGGCGTCGTCGGCGGCGAGGGCCGTGACCCAGTCGCGCGCGCCGCCGAGCCGGCCCGTCTGCGCCCAGCGGCGCTCCACTTCGACGTCCGGGCCCTTCTTCTTGCTGTACCAGTGCTTCTTCTCCTTCGCGACCTCGACGCGCGTCTCGCGCCACTCCCAGCAGGCCGCGGACCGGCTCAGCCCGCAGGTGATGAGGCAGCCCGGCGCCTGCGCCGGCGCGACGCAGCGCACGACCTTCGACGGCGCCTTCGTGTCCGCGCCGAGCGACGCGAACGACGGCGGCGCGACGGCGCCGAAGGCGCCGTCGGCGGCGAGGGACCCGCCGCCCTTGAGCGCCCCGCCGACGACCAAAACGTCGCAGGCCTCGCGGAGGAGGTCCGCGCGCGGCGCGTCCTCCGCGGCCTCGACGGGCTCGAGCGCGGTCCCGCGGCCGGCCCTGTCGTCCTTCTTCTTGGACCGGCCGAAGACGGAGCCGAAGAAGGACCCGCGCTTCTCCTTCTCGGGCTTCTCGGCCTTGTTCGTGAACGCCTGGCCCCGGTCGCTGAACGCCGCGCCGGATTCCGTGATCGTCGCGCCCGTGTTTTTCGTCTCGAAGCGCGGGCCGAGGCCGAAGGACGTGCCCTTGTCCCCGAAGGTCGACAGGTCCGCGGCCTTGTCGCCCGGCGCCGCCTGGAGCGGCTTCGACGCCCGGGGCGGGTCCGCGGGCGGCGGCGGCGGCGCGGCCGCGGCGGGCCGCGGCGGCGCGGCCGCGGCGGGCCGCGGCGGCGCGGCCGCGGCGGGCCGCGGCGGCGCGGCCGCGGCGGGCCGCGGCGGCGCGGCGGCCGGCGGCGCGGTGGGCCGCGGCGGTGGCGCGGCGCCGCCGTTCATCTCGGCGATGGTCTTTCGCAGCGCGTGGTTCTCGATGAGCGCCGTGCCGCCGGCGCCGAGGGGCGCGCCCGTCGTCGGGGACGTGAGCTTGCCGGTGCCGAGCCACTGGGTCACGGCGGACCGCTCGTAGGTGTGGCCGTCGCCGGCGAGGATGACGGGGTCGACGAAGGCTTCGAGGGTCAAGGGGCAGCAGAGGCCGTCGAGGTCGTCGGCCATCGTCGCGAAGGCTTCCCGAGGCAATGCTCCACCTCTTGGATTTCAGCAGGAGGAGGAGGCTGCCCCAATTGCAAATGTTCAAGAAAAGAATCGTCCCCTTCAATTAATAGTCCAACATGCAAATTCTCGCTTCGCAACCACAGATCGGGCAGCATTATAGCATTCTGCTGCAGTGTGCTCGCGCGTGCCGGTGGCGGGACACGTTGACGGGGAGGCGGCGCTTCGCCGCACCGCGCCGTCTCAACGAGCATGATCCGCGGCCGCGCGGGCACGGAGCCCGTCGCCTTCGTCCAGAGTCCGATGGCGGCGCACGGGGCGAGCCCGGCCGCGCCAGCTCCCGGCGGCGGCCGCGTCGTGACGTTCGAGGCCCCCTGCCTCGGCTTCACCATCGACGTGAACGCCGCCCTGGACGGCCACGTCGTCACGGAGGTCGAGGCCGCGGCGGCCCTGGGCGTGCGCGTCGGCGACCGGATCGTGGCCGTCGACGGCGCGGCGCTGCCCCGGGGCCTCGAGTGCTGGCGCATCGCCGCCATCGTCGAGGCCGTCGGCCGGCCCTGCACGCTCACCTTCGCCGGCGACGACGACGACGACGACGGGGCCGCGGCGGTCTACGAGATCCTTCGAAAGCCCGCGACGAACGTCGCCGTCGCCGAGGCGATCCACGAGACGACGGGTCTGCAGCCGCCCTTCGCGCTCGTGCTCGCGAAATCCGTCGTCGGGGCCCTCGAGCGCGTCGTCGCCGGCGAGCCCCTGGGGGACGCGGCGACGCCCGCGGTGCTGACGTTCCTCGAGATCCTCTTCGCGGACACGGCCGTGCAGGCCGTCAAGCCGCTGCCGCCGCCCTGGGCCCTCGAGACGAGCCGCGGCGTCAAGGCCGCGCTCGTGGAGATCACGGGCGCCGGCGACGCCTTCAACGTCGCCGCGGTCGTCTCCGCGCTCGTCGCGCCGAGCCACCTCACCGTCGACACGCCGCTGCGGCGCGCGCTCTGCGACGGCGCGCTCCACCGCCGGCTCGCGCGCGACCTCGGCGTCGAGGAGGTCAAGGAGGACGCGCGGGACGTCATCGATGTCGAGGACGACATGGGCGCGTTCGACGACGGCGACTGGGACCGCGAGGCGAGCGCGTCCGGCGACTGGGAGACGGACGAGTCCGGCGTGCTCGTGGAGCCGGAGGTCGAGGTCTTCGACGCGGGCCAGCGCGTCGCGCTCGGGTCGCTCGGCCCCGCGGCCATGCGGTGGGCGCTGGACCACGCGGCCGACGGCGGCGTCGTCGTCGAGTCGCGAGGCGGCCGCCACAAGGTGTGTCTGGAAAGCAACAACGCGACGATGGAGTTCGAGGATGGCCAGCTCACGTGCGAAGGCGGCCTGCCGCCGCGGCTCCTCTCGCCCGTGCGGCTGCAGCACCCGTCGGTCGTCGGCGCGTTCCTCGCGCGCGCGCACGACGGCGCGCTCGGGACCGTGCGAGGCCCCGCGCGCGAGGGCTACGCCGTCGAGGTCGACGACGCCGGCTTCACCTGGGACCTGCCGCCCGAGTGCCTCGCGAAGGTCGCCGAGTCGCGCCTCGAGAAGTCGCGGCGCATCTACGCGGCGCAGAAGGCCGCGCGCGAGCGCGCGGACGCGGCCGAGGCCGAGGCCGAGGCGAAGCGCAAGGCCGAGGTCGCGCGCGTCGACGCCGAGGCCGAGGCCCTGCGCGCGGCGGCGTTGGAGCTCGAGGCCGCGGCGGAGGCCGAGGCCGCCGAACTCCGGCGCAAGGCCATGGCGAAGAAGATCCAGGGCGCGTCCGCGCGGCTCCGGGCCCGCTCGCGCGAGAAGGCCGAGGCGCTGGCCAGGGCCGAGGCGGCGACCGCGACCGCGGCGCCGGACTTGGCCGCGGCGGCGCCGACATTCCGCGCGGGCGACCGCGTCGAGGCGTGGCGGCCGCGTTACCAGGAGCACTTCCCGGGCATTATCGCGGTGGCCCACTCCAAATGGCTCTACGACGTGCGCTACGACGACGGCGTGCTCGAGAATCGCGTCACCGCGGACCTCATCCGCGCGCCCGGGGCGGCCGCAGCCGCGCCGCCGCCGGCGCCCGGCCGCGGCGTCGAGATGACCCAAAGCGCGCCGGCGTACCGGCCGCCGCCGCCGGCGGCGTACCAGCCGCCGCTCCCGCCGCCGCCGCCGCGCCCGCCGCCGCCGCCCGCGCAGGCGCCCCAGCAGATGAGCGTCATCGTGCCGCCGAACGCGCCGCCGGGCACGCAGCTCACGATCCAGGGGCCCGACGGCCGGCTCTACCGCGTCGTCGTGCCGCCGGGCGCGCACCCGGGCTTCCAGATGACCGTGGCCCTCGCGCCGCCGCAAGACGCGCCGCCGCCGCAGTGGATGCAGCGCACGCAGCAGTTCCAGCGCCAGTTCTGAACTCGGTTTAAAACAACACGACACATGTGGGAGTCTAAAGGGAGACGTGATTCTCCACCGGCGGCGCGTCCTCGTCGGACTCTTCGGCGTCGCGGGGGCGCTTGCGCTGCGACGGCGGCGGCTCGGCCGCGCGGCCGCGGCCGTAGCGCTGCCAGTTCGCGAGCGCGGGGGTCGCGGCGCCGGCGGGCCCCGGCTCGGCGGCCGACGGCGCCGGCGCGACGGACGCCCCGGGCGCCGCGGGCGCCGCCGCGGCCGTCACCTCGACGGCGGGCGTGTCCTTGTCGTCGGCCTCTTCGGCGTCGCGGGGGCGCTTGCGCTGCGACGGCGGCGCGGGCACCGGCGTCCGCGCGACCGGCACGCAGTCGCGACGTCCGTCGATCACCTTTTGTAGCACAACATCAATTTCAGCCTTTGAGACCGAAAAATACACACTCAGCTTCTCCACTATGAGCTCCTTCGAAACCGAGCGATCAGCTTTGGTTTTCTCCAGCTCGACATCAGTCTTCAACAATTTTTCGAGGGCGTCTTCGACAGCGGCCGGCGTGAGCGACGGCGGCGCGGCCGGCGCGGCGACCGGGGCGGCCGGCGCGGCCGGCGCGGCGACCGGGGCGGCCGGCGCGGCCGGCGCGGCCGCTGCAGTAGGAGCGACTGGTGGCCACGGCGCGACCGGCGCAAGTTGCGGCGCGACGGGCGGAGATTGCGACATCGGCACAAAATACGGCGCGCCCGGCGGAAAATACGCCGCGCCCGGCGGCACAAAATAAGCCGCGCCCGGCGGCACGAAGGGCATCGGCGGCGGCGCGACCGGCAACGGCGGCGGCGCGACCGGCGGCGGCTCGTCGGCCTCGTCGAGCTCGCCCGACCGCTCTAAGCTGTCGAGCGCCGCGGCGACGTCCGCGTCGTCGATGCGGTCGTCGTCGGTGGCCGTGAAGGTGTCGAAGGGCCGCACGCGCGCGATGCTCGCGGCCCGCTCCGCGGCGACCTCGAGGAAGAGGCGGTCGAGCGTCCGCGCGAGGGGCTTGTCGCGCGTCCCGTCGTCGTCGTCCTCCTCGACCAAAGGGATCAGGTCCGCGAGCTCGTCGCGCCGGAAGAAGCGCTGGAGCACCTCGTCGTCGGCGACGCCCGACGCGACGGCGCCCTTGGCGATCTGCCGGTTGAAGACGCGCTCCTCGACGGTGCCCGCGGCGACGAGGCGGTAGACGAAGACGGGCCGCTCCTGGCCGAAGCGGTGCGCGCGCGCGATGGCCTGCGCGTCGTCCGCCGGGTTCCAGGACACGTCGAACAAGATGACGCGCGTCGCCGCGTGCAGGTTGATGCCGACGCCCGCCGCGCGCACGGACAGGAAAAACACGACGGCGTCGGAGCTGCTGAAGTCCTCGATCAGGGCCTGGCGCGCCGTCACCGTCGTGTCGCCGTCGAGGCGCCGCGCGAGGCGCGCGGGCCAGCCGAGGTCGCCCGAGACGACGGAGATCTGCAGGTAGTCCAGGCTCCGCAGGGACTGGGAGAAGACCAGCACCTTCTCGCCGCGCGCGCGCGCCTTGACGAGGATGTCGCGCGCGACGAGCGCCTTCGCGCCCGCCTCGGGCCGCGCGTCTCCCACGACCGGCGCCAGGTCGCCGCCGAGGCGGTCGTGCCACGCGCGCGACGCCGCGCAGAGCACGTCCGCGGCCTCGCGCGGCGCCCGCGGCGCCGCCGCCGGCCCCCGCAGGTCCGCGACCTCGTCCGCGCCCGAGCCCGCGTCCGACTCCTCGTCGTCGTCGCAGATGAACGACGCCATGACCCGCTTCTCGAGCTTCGCCGGGAGCACGCGCTCCTCGTTGTGGCGCCGCGCGAGCGCCGCCACGTGCGGGTGGTTGAAGACCTGGCGCAGGTGCTCGCAGAGCGCGAAGACGCCGCCGGACTTGTCGTCGCCGCCGCGCTCCCAGATCGCCAGCCGCTCGCCGTAGAGCCGCCGCTGGACGTCCGTCAGGCGGCAGTAGACGACGACCTCGTGCTTCGGCGGCAACGCGCTCGCGAGCAGCGCGGCGCCGCGGCGGTGGACGACGGGCTCGAGGAGCGTGTGGAGCACGGCCATGCGCCGCTTCGACCGCGTCACGTCCCGCTTCGAGCTGTCGTCGAAGAGGCCCGCGGCGATGGGCTCCGCGAAGCGCGCGTCGAAGGCCTTGCGCTCGTCGAGGAGCAGCGGCCGCGCCCAGGACAGCATCGCGTAGAACTCGCCGAGGTTGTTCTGCACCGGCGTGCCCGTGAGGCCGACGCGCCGCGCGGTGCCCACGGCGGCGAGCGCCGTCGCGAGGCGCGCCTTCTCGCGCTTGACGCGGTGCGCCTCGTCGCAGACGACGACGTCCGCGGCCTCGGCGACGTAAGTCGTGAAGAAGCCGCGGTGCCGCTTCTGGCCGCCGACGACGAGCGTGCCGAAGAGCTCGTAGCTCAACAGGAGCACGCCGCCGCGCGCCGACCACTCCTTGGCCACGCGGCGCCGCTCGTCGACAGACTTGGCGAGGCGGAAGAGGTGGAAGACGCGGTCCGCGACGCCGTCGTTATTCAGCAAGCGCCGCGACCAGAGGTCGATCTCGCGCGCCCAGTTGTCGAGCGTCGACGCCGGCGCGACGACGAGCACGCGGTCGAGGCGCCGCCCGCCGGCCGCGGCCGCGGCGCGCAGCGTGTCGTCGTTCAACAGCAGGCAGCAGAGCGCGACGACGACGAACGTCTTGCCCAGGCCCATCGCGTGCGCGACGACGCAGCCGTGGCCCGCGTCGCCGCGGCGGAGCGCCGCGAGCGAGACGAGGACGTTCTGCGCGACGAACTTGAGGCAGGACCGCTGGTGGGGCTTGAGCCACGCGCGGCCGCTGTCCAGCGCGACGCGCGCGTCGCCCTCCCGCAACACGACGAGCGGCGCGTCGTCGTCGTCGTCGTCGTCGCTGTCGAAGCCCGGCCACGTGTCCGACGCCGCGTGGTAGCCGACCTCGGTCTGCCGCTCCTTCTCGCGGCGCATGGCCTCGCGCGCCGTGCCCCCGGCGCCGCGCATGACGCGCCGGAGCTGGTCCTGCTGCCGCGCGGCCGCCTGCACGGCCCTCCGCGCGTCGGCGCCGCCGTCGTTCGCCCCGCGGCGCCGCGGCCGCCGCGCCGCGGGCGCCGCGGCGGCGGCGCAGCGCTCGCAGGACCAGTCGCCCTCGGGCGCCGCGTCGAGGCCGACGCAGCCCACGTGGTACGGCGCGTCGCAGCCGTCGCAGAGCAGGAGCTCGCCGACCTCGCCGCACGTCCAGCACCGGTCCGTGTCCTCCTCCTCGCCGACCGCGGCGTCCTCGTCGTCGACGTCGACCTCGTCGTCGTCGTCGACGTCGAAGGCGAACTCGTCCTCGTCGGACGGCGGCGCGGCGGGCTCGGGCGCCCGGCCCTCGTCGTCCGGGTCGTCCGAGAGCGCGTCGACGCGGCGGCCGCGCGGCGGCGCGGCGCCGTAGAAGAGGTCCCCGCGGTCGCGGCCCGACGGGCGCGCCTCGACGAAGTCGTCGTCGTCGTCGTCGGCGTCGTCGGCGAGCAGGACGCGGCCGCGGAGCGCGGGGTCCGCGGCGACGGCCGCGGCCGCGGCCTCGAGCGCGCCCTCGGCCCCGTACGCGTAGGGCACCGGCCGCGGCGGCAGCCGGAACCCGAGGTCCGCGAGGCGCTCGCCGTCGGCGCGCGCGAGCCGGTCGTGGCAGGCGTGGAGGAAGAAGATCGCGCTGTAGCGCTCGCCCGCGACGGGCGTCCGCCAGGGCAGCGTCGCGTGCGGCGTGTTGCCGTCGAAGGTCTGGGGCGTCTTCACGTCGATCGCTCCGCGGCCGTGGACCCAGAGCTCGCCGCCCTCGAAGTCGCCGAACGCGACGATGCAGCTCGGCCCGCAGTTGAGCGCGTCCACGTGGAGCGGACTCTGCGTGTTCTTCGTCAGCGCGACGGAGCTGAAGGCGTCGAGCGGCACGTGCTCGCGCGCGAAGGCGCAGAGCGCGGCGCAGAGCCGCGGGCGCGCGCGCGTCGCTTCGCTGAGCGTCGCGCCGCCCGGCCCCCGGCGCACCGCGCCGAGGACGAAGCCGAGCGGCGCGCGGCCCTCGGCCCGGAGCGCGCGGCGCTCCGACTCCGGGAAGACGACTTTGCGGAGCTCGTCGAGGACGTCGGCGGCCGTCGGCGCGACGACGGGCTCCTCGGCCGGCGGCGACCGCGCGGCGCGCCGTCCGTCCGCCGCGTCGGCGTCCGAGTCGTCCGAGAGCGCCTCGATGCGCCGGCGGCGCCGCGGCGGCGCCGCGGGCGCGGCCTCGACGACGGCGTCGGCGGGCGCGTCGTCGGGCGGCGACGGCTCTTCCTCCGATCCGTCCCGCTCGGCTTGGCCCTCCTCCGCGTCGTCGTCGGACGAGTCGGAGTCGGACTCGGACTCGGCGTCGCCGGACGCGTAGTCGTCGTCCTCCTCGGACTCGGACTCGGACGACGACGACAGCACCGGCTCCGGCGAGGCGGCGCGCCGCGTCCGCGAGCCCTCGGGCGCGTGCGCCGCCGCGTCCGCGCCGTCGTCCCAGGTCACGCGCGGCCACTTGACGTCGCGCTCGATGGTGCTGTCGTCGTAGGCCACGCAGCACCGCCACGCGCCCGCGGCGCCGGCCTTGACGCGGTAGACCGCGCCGGCGAAGGGCGCGCCGTCGCTCCAGGTGACGCTGCAGCGCGCCGTCGGCCGCACGCTCGCGCCGCGCTTCGCGTCGAGCCACCGCCGCAGCGCGCCGCCGTCGAGGGGCGCCTCCTCGGCGCCGCGCGTGCGCAGCGTCTCGAGGGGCGTCCAGAACAGGGACTCGGGGCGGACCGTGGACACGAGGAAGCCCGCGCCCTCCTCGAAGTCCTCGAGGTCGCAGCGCCGGCCGCCGCGCTCGTCGACGACGACGAGCTTCCGCGGGTCGAACGCGGGCGGCGTCCTCGGTTCGACCTCTCCGTTGACCGTGTCGTCGTCGAACGCGCTCCGACCGTCGTCGTCGGGCGCCGGAGGCGCCGCGGGTTCGTCCCACTGCGCCTCGTCGTCGGGCGCCGGAGGCGCCGCGGGTTCGTCCCACCGCGCCTCGTCGTCCGGCGCCGGAGGCGCCGCGGGTTCGTCCCACTGCGCCTCGTCGTCGGGCGCGCGCACCGACGACGCCTCGGCGCAGACCGAAGACGCGTCCGACGCCGGAGGCGCCGCGGGTTCGTCCCACTGCGCCTCGTCGTCCGGCGCGCGCACCGACGACGCCTCGGCGCAGACCGAGAACGCCTCCTCCGGCGCGGCGTCCTCCCACTCCGCCTCCTCGTCGGCCGGCGGCGCGTCGTCCTCGGCCGGCGCGGCCTCGGGCAGCGGGTGCTTGCGCGGCCGGCCGCGCGGCTTCTTCGGAGGCCGCGCGGGCGCCTCTTCCGCCGCGTCGTCTAGCGCTGGAGGCGCCTCCGGCGCGGCGCTCTCCGCGTCGACCTCGACGACCTCGTTCTTCCCCACCGGAGGCTCCGGCGCGGAGCTCTCCGCGTCGACGTCGATGACGTCCGCCTCGGCGGGTGGGCCCCGCTTCTGCCTCCCAGCCTTAACCGGCGACCGGGTTCGTCTGGGGGCGTCGGCCTCCTCCGCGCGGCGGCGCAGCGCCGCCGCTTCTTCGTCGCGCTGCGCGAGCTGCGCGGCGACTCGCGCGAGCCTCGCGCGAAGCGCCGCGCGCTCCTGGTCGATGTTGTGAAGGGTTTCGCGGTCGGGATCACTCATGCTGTCTTAGAATCACCGCCGGAAGTCACGCACCATCTCGATCAAGAGCGCCCATACTAGTACCTCAAGGTCGATGCTCCTTGCGGCAAAAGGCAAATCCTCGCCAAACAGCGCGACGAGGAGGTGCGCGCGCGAGACGTTCCGGCGCCGCGCAACCATGCTGCGCCGCCTCCTGCCGGCGACGAAGCTCGTCGCCCGGCGCTGGAAGAGCGGCGCGTCGCCCGTCGCGGCCTACGCCGCCGAGGATGTGGTCAAGAGCGACCACTGCGACGTCATCGACGGCGGCCCCGTGGGCCCCTACCGCCTGCGGCGCCCGCTGAAGCTGCCCAAGGACCACCGCGGCGTCGAGGTCATCCAGGACCCGCTCTACAACAAGGGCATGGCCTTCGACTACGGCGAGCGCGACCGCCTCGGGCTCCGGGGGCTCATGCCGCCGTGCGTGTCGACGCTCGAGGAGCAGTGCATGAAGACCATGGTGGACCTCCGCGGCCTGCCGGACGACCTGAGCAAGCACATGTTCCTCGTCGACCTCCACGACCGCAACGAGACGCTCTTCCACCGCGTCGTCGTCCGCCACGTCGGCGAGCTCGCGCCGTTGATTTACACGCCGACGGTGGGCCAGGCGTGCCTCGAGTTCGGCAACATCTTCCGGCGGCCCCGGGGCATGTACTTCTCGGCGAACGACGTGGGCCACATGAACGCCATGGTCCAGAACTGGCCCATGCGCGACGTGCGGGTGGTGGTGGTCACGGACGGGTCGCGGATCTTGGGCCTCGGCGACCTCGGCGCGAACGGCATGGGCATCCCCATCGGGAAGCTGGCCCTCTACTGCGCGGCGGGCGGCATCGCGCCGCACCGCGTGCTGCCCGTCGTCGTCGACGTGGGCACGAACAACGACGCGCTCCGCGACGACCCGTTCTACCTCGGGCTCCGGCAGGCGCGGCTCACGGGCGCGGCCTACGACGACGTCCTCGACGAGTTCGTCGCCGCCGTGCGCCACCGCTGGCCCAAGTGCCTCATCCAGTTCGAGGACTTCGAGTCGGCCGTCGCGCAGCCGCTCCTCGACCGCTTCCGCGACGACGTGCTCTGCTTCAACGACGACATCCAGGGCACGGGCGCGACGGTGCTCGCCGGGTCCCTCGCGTGCCTGCGCCAGACGGGCAAGCCGCCCAGCGCGTTGACGGACCAGCGCGTCGTCGTCGCCGGCGCGGGCTCCGCGGGCGTCGGCGTCGCGACGGCGCTGAAGGACGGCATGGTGTCCATGGGCCTGTCGGAGGCGGAGGCGGCGTCGAAGTTCTACCTCTTCGACGTCGACGGCCTCGTGGCGAAGGAGGGCATGGACCCGGCGGCCTACGATGCGTTGGTCAAGGAGGTCCGGGTCTTCGCGGACTCGTTCGACGCGCCGGGCGTCCGCGGCGACTCGCTCAAGGCGGTCATCGAGGCCACGAAGCCGACGATGCTCATCGGGCTGTCGACGGTCGGCGGCCTCTTCACGGAGGACATCGTGAAGACGTTCCACGATGGCGTCAAGCCCGACCGGCCCATCGTCATGCCGCTGTCGAACCCGACGGCGTCGGCGGAGTGCTCCGCGGCCGACGCGATCACGTGGACGGACGGCGCGGCCGTCTTCGCGTCGGGGTCGCCCTTCCCGCCCGTGGAGTACGGCGGCAAGACCTACCAGACGTCCCAGTGCAACAACATGTTCGTCTTCCCCGGCGTGGGCCTCGGCGCGACCGTCGCCGAGTGCACCGTCGTCAGCGACAACATGCTCCACGCGGCCGCCGAGGCCTGCGCGAACTCCGTCTCCGACGACGAGATGGCGCGGGGCCAGGTCTTCCCCGACGTCGCGCGCATCCGCGACGTGTCCCTCAACGTCGCCGTCGCGGTGATCGAGTCCGCGCTCAAGGACGGCTACGTCCGCTCGAAGCCCATCCTCGACGGCGCGGACGTGCGGACCTTCGTCCAGTCGAAGTCCTACTTCCCCGCCTACGTGCCCATCGTCCAGGCGCCCCTGGGCGACGTCTAAGAGTTCTTAATCGGTCGCCGCGCGCGTCGCGACGCGCCTGGGCGACGTCTAAGCGCTCGTTCTAGTCGGTCGCCGCGCGCGTCGCCACCCGGCACGTCGGGCAGCGGAACGTGAGCCGCGGGCTCGCGCGCGCGCCCGCCGCGGGCGGGCTCCAGCTCGACGCGACGTAGGCCCGGACGCAGCCCGGGTGCATGCCGTGGCCGCACTCGAGCGCCGTCGCGCCGTCGCCGAGCTCCTCGAGGCAGACCGGGCACGCGGGCGGCGGCGCGAGGCGCTCGAAGCGCGCCGCGCGCAGGTCCTCGTCGAAGACCTAAAGCATAGTCGTGACGGTTTCGCGAGCGAGAGAAGGACGCGGGTCGCGACGTCGCCGTCGTCGTATCGGACGCGGTGGCGCGCGCCGTCGAAGCCGTCGACGGTGCCCGGGAACGACTCGCCCTCGGCGGGCCAGAAGACGGCGACGCGCCAGCCGACGGCCTCGGCTCCGGGCGCCGCGGCGGCCGCGGGGACCGGCGACTCGAGGCGCTCGAACCGCGCCGCGCGCAGGTCCTCGTCGTAGACCTAAGGCATATTCGTGACGGTTTCGAGAGCGAAAAAAAGGACGCGGGTCGCGACGTCGCCGTCGTCGTAGGCGACGCGGTGGCGCCGGCCGTCGAAGCCGCGCACGGTGCCCGGGAACCAGGCGTCCTCGCCGGGCCAGAAGACGGAGACGCGCCAGCCGACGGCCTCGGGGCCCGGCGGCGCGGCGGCCGCGGGGCCCGGCGACTCGTGGCGCTCGAAGCGCTCCGCGCCCTCGGCCTCGGGGCCCGGCGGCGCCGGCCCCTTCCGCCCCGCGGCCGGGTTCCCGACGTCCCGGAACTTCCCGTCGGCGTCAAAATTGCAGGAGCCGTGGCGGCCGAGCTCGCGCGCCCGCCGGTCGTACGCGAGGGCCGCGTCCTTCTCGTCCTCGAAGGTCCCGAGCCACTCGGACTTATAGCCCACGCCGATCTTTGCGTCGAACTTCTTGTTCTGCGGCCTGACGCCGCGGTAGACGCTCCGTCCGACGTCGACCCGCCGCGTGACGCCGTCCCCGCGGAAGTTGAGAAATTTCGTCTTCCCGAGCTCGCGGGCTTTCGCGTCGTAGGCGAGCGCGGCCTCCTTTTCATCGTCGAACGTCCCCAGGTATTCGCCGCAGACATTCACCGTGAACCTTTTGTAGCAGCCGCGGACGCCGCGGTAGGATGATTTGTGCCACTTCTTTCCGGCTTTGTAGTTGGGCATGATGTCACTACTCCACGCGCGAGAGCGTCGAGTGCCACGGGAGGGCACGACTTGGGCGGAGGTGTACGCGAGCACGGCGACGAAGAGGGCACGACGACTCAGAGCGTCGCGTGTCTCGGTGCGACCACGAGATCGCCGCCTCGATGAGGCAAATCGTGCCGGGGATCGGAGACCATGGCCCGTGGCCATGTGATCTTGGCCGATGCCGTTGCCGACGCTTATAGCGCTCCTCTCCACCTGGAAAGGTCACTCGGAACACGGAACGTGCGCCGCTGTGGAAGCCTCCGAGGCCCGCGCGCGGCCGCGTACTCGTGACGTAGCGTCAACTTAGGCGTCAACATGCCTTCAACGCCCAATCACGCTCTCAGTGCATCGTCTCGTCGTCGATGGCCACCTCATCGACGATGGCTGCGTGGCGCGCGCTGCTCCTCGCCGCCGCGCTCGCGACCACGAGCGCGCTGAGCAGCAGCATCTCCGCGAAGGACCGCGTGCGACCGCCGCCGTCGCGGTCCGAGGACGGCTTCCCCGCCGTCTTCGACCGCGGCGCCTTCGAGGCCTACCTCGACACGCGACCCGGCACGGTCGCGAAGCGCGCGGCGGCCTTCGCCGCCGAGGCGGGCCCGCTCCAGCTGCGCGCCGCGTCGCTCTGGGCGTCGGGCCAGCTGCGGCGCGACGACGCGGCGTTCGCCGCGAGCGTCCGGGGCGCGCTCGAGCGCCTCGGCCCGGCGTTCGTCAAGATCGGCCAGCTGCTGTCCGTGCGCGAGGACGTGCTCGGGCCCGTCTGGTCGCGGGAGCTCGCGGAGCTCCAGGCGGGCGTCGCGCCCTTCGACGGCGACGACGCCGTCGCCGCGGCGCTCGCGGCGCCGCTGCGGGCCGCGGACGGCTCGCGCGGCCGCCTCGTCGACGTGCGGCGCGACGCCGCGGCGTCGGCGTCCATCGCCCAGGTGCACCGCGCCACGTGGCAGGCCGACGACGGCGCGCTGCGCGAGGTCGCCGTGAAGATCGTGCGGCCGGGCGTCGTCGAGGCCGTCGCCGTCGACCTGTGCGTGCTGCTGCGCGCGGCGGAGCTGCTGGAGACCTGGGCGCCGCGCCTGCTGCCCAAGTCGGAGGTCGACTGGCGCGACCTGCTGGAGGGCCTGGCCGCCGCGCTGTGGGAGGAGGTCGACCTCCGGGGCGAGGCGCGGCGGCAGTCCCGGTTCCGCGACAACATGGCCAAGGTGCGGGGCGTCGCCGTGCCGGAGGTGCTCGCCTCGAGCCGGCGGGTCTTAGTCAGCGAGTGGGTCGACGGCGTGCCCGTCGCGCAGCTGCCCGACGAGGACGCGCGGCTCAAGGTCGCCGTCGGCCTCGCGCGCGACGCGTACTGCCAGAGTATGTACGTCGACGGCTTCTTCCACTCGGACTGCCACGGGGGCAACCTGCTGCTCCTCGGCGACGACCGGCTCTGCATCCTCGACTGCGGGCTCATGGTCGACATCGAGGAGAAGGACGCCGACGGCCTCCTCGCGCTGTCGCTCGCCCTGGCCGCGCGGGACTGGCCGCGGGTCGTCGCGTCGGCGACGACGCTGGGCTTCCTCCCGGAGGATCTCGACGCGGCCACGCGCGCGCGCGCCGAGGCCATCGTGGCGCGCATCGTCGGCCCCTACGTCGAGGTCGGCGGCGGCGCGCGCGCGGCGTCGTCCTACGTCGCGTCGTCGTTGTTCGCGGACGTCGCGGCCGCGTCGGCGGATCTGCCGACGGCGCTCCCGCCGAAGATGGTGCTGCTCGGCCGCGCCGTGCTCCAGCTCGAGGGGCTGGCCCTCCGCGCGGACCCGGGCTTCAAGATCGTCGACGACATCCTGCCGACGGCCGCGCGCCTGGCGGTGCAGAACCCGCGGCGCGACGCGTCCGGGAGCCTGCTCTACGACCTCCTCACGGACGTGGCCGTCCAGGACTCGGGGAGCTTCTCCCCGGACAAGCTCCGGGCGCTTTTACGGAGCGCCAAGGCCGCGTCGTCGGTGGACTCGACGCGAGATCTGTTCCTCGAGGACGAGGCCGCGCGCGACGTGGCGTGCGACGAGGCGGCGGACGCGTTGGACGCGCTCGGCCGCGACTTCGTCTGGGCGCTCCTCGGCGACGAGGCCGTCGCGTCCGCGCCGCCGGCCCTGCGCGACGCGACGGAGCGCCTCGTGCCGCGCGTCACGGACGAGGAGCGCGCCGTCCTCGACCGGCTCCCCGCAGCGCTCGCGTCCGTCGCCGGCGACGGCGGCGGCGCCGCGGGCGCGGCGACGGCGCTCGCGCGGCCCGGCGCGCGGCCCGCGGGGCTCGCGGACACGCCCCTGGGGCGCGTCGCGTCCCTCGCGAGCGTCCAGGGCGGCGCCGCGGACCTCGCGCGGTCCGCGATCGTCGGGGGCGACGGCGCGTCGCAGCGGACGCTCGCGCGCGTCGCCGACGGCCTCACGGACCGGCTCCGGGACCGCCTCGAGGACGCGGGGCTGCCGTCGTTCCTCGCGCCGAAGATGCCCCTGCCCCCGGGCTGGCGATAACAGTCTTACCGGAGCGCCTTCTCGGGCGGCCAGGTCCAGCGAGCGCACGCTGCTCTACGGCGGCGTCTTCTACTACCCGGCGGACAAGAAGAGCGCCAAGGGCAAGCTCCGCGTGCTCTACGAGGGCTACCCCATGGCGCTCCTCACGGAGCAGGCCGGCGGCGTCGCGTCGACGGGCCGCTTCCGCGGCAAGGCCGGCCGCATCATGGACGTCGTCCCGGAGAACATCCACGACCGCTGCCCCATCATCATGGGCTGCCCCCGCGACGTCGCCATGATCCTCAGCAAGTACAACTAGGACGGGCGTAAAAGAAGGCGCGTCGATATGATTTTAACACCGGGGGGGGCGGGTCCGGGGTCAGTGGACATGGAACTCAGCCGTCGCGGTCGAGGTGGTGCAGCACCTTGCGTGCACCGCCGACCTCTCCAAAAGGCAGAAAAGTTCAAATTAGAGTTCAAACCCTCGGTTGCGCGCGCGCCCGCTGCTCGAGCTCCTCCTGTCGGCCGAAGATGGTCCGCATCACCGGGCGTTGCTCTCGCGCCACCATCGCCATCGGCACCGTTCACGAGATGGACCTGGAAGAGCGCTTTGAATATGCAGGCGGTCAGTATGCGCCGGGGCGGAAGCTGAGCGAGGCCGAGGTGGCCGCGCTCTTCAAGCAGCTGCGCGCCCAGGACCCGACGCGCATGCGCGTCATCGAGGCCGTGCTCGCAGAGGCGGCGGCGCACGACGTGATCACGCGCCGGCGCAAGATCAAGCTCGAGCAGGACGAGGAGGGCCTCATCGACGCGGTCCTGACGATCGTGATCGGTGTGAACGACAAGGGCAAGATCAAGGTGGCCATGGCCTCGCGCCGCGTGGTCGACGCGACCATGCACACGGGCAGCTTGAAGATGTACATGGGGTCGCCCATGCGCCCCGAGCTCAAGGAGCGCCTCTACGTGGACACGAAGGACATGTACGTCATCGACGCGGCGGTCATGCTCAACGTCGACATCGCGCGGCCCGAGGCGGACTCCATCGACCAGCTCAAGGACGGCGTCGGCGCCGCGCGCGGCCTCGGCACCGTGATCGTGCCGCAGGCGCGCGAGACGGGGAAGCTCAACCGCCTCGAGGCGGGCAAAACCGTCGCGGGCGCGTCGCTGACGGTGCCGCGAGGAAAACGGCAGCGCGGCCACGAGCTGCGCATCCACATCAACGAGTGCGAGGGCAAGACGGAGGAGGCGAAGGAGCGGGAGGCCGCGTCCCGGTTCGGCTCGGGCCAGGAGACGGCCGCGCAGCAATACGCCATGAACAACCCCACGGAGAAGTCGAAGGCGCAGCGATTCGGCGGCGACGGGGTGTCGGATTCGAAGCTCCTCGCGGCCGAGTCGACGTCGAGGGGCCACGTGGCGGCGAACCTGATCCGCGCCCACATTGATGCGGGCGGCGAGGACATGTTCGAGTGCGACGGCTACACGATGCAGATCCGCGACGACCCCTTCCGCATCGTCGAGCACGCGCCGCGCGACAAGAACGGCGAGTACATCTTCCGCCAAGGGCAATGCAAGGGCGACTTCAAGCTCCACGTCGACGAGGTCGACTCCGACGGCGAGCCGCTCGACGAGCCGCTCGACGTCGACGACAGCGACTACGACAGCGACGACGACGACTCGGTGCGGCTGTGCTTCGACGTGGCGGTGGAGCTCAAGCTCCTCAAGCCCCACTTCGAGGTCCAGCGCGAGATCGCGGACATGACCCGCCCCGCGCTCAAGCGCGCGCTCAAGGAGGCCAAGCTCAACGTCACCGGCGGGGGGCCGGAGCTCAAGAAGCGCCTCTACCTCCACCGGACGGGCCAGCGCAAGACGCTCCACACGTTCTGCTAGGCAATAAGGGCGAGCATTAAGAAGTACAACCCCCCCCCCCCCCC